GGAGTCTAGGATGTAATAGATGCTCAATAAATATTTGTAGTTCCATTCACTTATATTCTTTCTCTCAACTCTCCAACCCAATCCAGTTAAAATGAGCCCCCCGCCGACCCCACTAAGATTTGGCATCCCACAGACCTGGATTTGAGGTCTGGTTTTCCCACTTGCTAGCTAGGCAAGTTATTTAATGTTTTTGAATCTTAATTTCTTCTCCTGTGACATGAAAATGATAAAAATTGTATTAAATAAAGAAAATACAGTGCTTGATACAGTAATACTTAATACATTGTAGCCCCTATTAGTATCTCTAAATTGTGATCCTTTTTCATCATTCAAACTCCCCTTCTATATTATCTGAACTGACAATTTCTGTTGAGTTTTTAAAATCATTTTTTCAATTAAAGTTGACATAAATATTGTATTAGCCTCAGATGTACAGCCCAGTGATTAGACATTATATAACTTACTAAGTGATCATCCCAATAAATCTTGCACCCATCTGACACCATACGTAGTTATTAGAATATTATTGACTATATTTTCTATGCTGTACTTTTTATCTCCATGACTATTTTGTAACGACCAATTTGTACTTCCTAATCCCCTCCCCTTTTTCACCCATCCTCCAAACCCCTGCCCATCCAGAAATCTTCAAAATGTTCTCTGTATCTGAGTCTGTTTTTGTTCTGCTTGTTTGATTTTATTTTTTAGATTCAATTGTTGATAGATATGTATTTATTGCCATTTTATCGTTCATATTTTGATCTTCTTCTGTAAGAAGATCCTTTAACATTTCATGTAACAATGGTTTGGTGACAATGAACTCCCTTAGCTTTTTCTTGTCTGGGAAGCTCTTTGTTCTTCAATTCCAAATGATAGGTTTGCTGGGTAATCTTGGTTGTAGGTCCTTGCTTTTCATTACTTTGAATATTTCTTGCCACTCCCGTCTGGCCTACAAAGTTTCTGTTGAGAAATCAGCTTATGGCAGCTCCCTTGTAGGTAACTAACTGCTTTTCTCTTGTCGCTTTTAATATCCTATTTTTATCTTTAATCTTTGGCATTTTAATTATGTTGTGTCTTGGTGTGGGCCTCTTCTGGGTTCTTGTTGTTTGGACTTTCTGTGCTTCCTGGACTGGTATGTCTATTTCCTTCACCAAGTTAGGGACATTGTCTTTCATTGTTTTTTCAAAGAGATTTTCAATTTCTTGCTCTCACTCTTCTCCTTCCAGCACCCCCATTATGCAAATGCTGGTGTGCTTAAAGTTGTCTCAGAGGCTCCTTGCACTTATTCTCATTTTGGGGATTTTGTGTGTGTTTGCATGTGCGTGTGCGTGTGCATGTGCATGTGTGTGTGTGTGTGTTGCTGTTCTGATTGGGTGTTTTTTTTGCTACATTATATTCCAAATCACTGATTAGATTCTCTGCTTTTTTATCTACTCTATTGTTGATTCCCTGTAAATTATTCTTCATTTCACTTAGTGTACTCTTCATTTCTTACTGTTCCTTTTTTAAAAAATAGTTTTTATTTTTTTATTTTTAGAGAGATGGCAAGGGAGGGAGAAAGTGATGGAGAGAAACACAAATTGGTTGCCTCTCAAATCTCCTACTGGGGACCTGGACCACAACCCAGGCATATGTCCTGACCAGGAATTGAACAGGCAGCCTTTTGGTTTGCAGGCTGTCACTCAATCCACTGAGCCACCCCAGCCAGGGCTGACTGGTTCTGCTTTTATGATTTCCATGTCCTTTATTATGCTGTTGAAGTTCTGACTAACTTTATTAAGGATCCATATAACCAGTATTTTGAATGCTGCATCTAGTATATTGCTTATCTCCATTTTATTTAGTTATTTTTCTAGTGTTTTGTTCTGTTCTTTCATTTAGGACATGTTTCTTTGTCTCCTCATTTTGGCAACCTTCCTGTGTTTGTTTCTATGTACTAGGTAGAGCAGCTATGTCTCCCAGGCTTGGTAGAGTGGCCTAATATAGTAGATATTGTAGGGTCCAGTGGCACAGACTCCCCAAACACAAGCTGGGCACTCAAGGTGTGCCCCTCATGTGGGCTGTGTACACCTTCCTATTGTAGTTGAGCCTTGATTGCTGGTGGCACATCAATGGGAATAATTTAACCCCAGGCCAGTTAGCCCAAGGACTGGCTATGGCCACCAACAACTAACCTCCGACCATCTTGGAGGATCAGCCGTGTTGGGGCCCACCCCACAGAGCAGGACTTACTTCAGTGGGGCTCTGGTGTCTGCTAAATCCACCCCTTGGGTGTGTTGCTTATAGAAGTGGTTGGGTGGTGATGCTTTGATGCGGTTTGAAGCTGTCCACTGGGTGCACTTGCTCTGGGGCTCCCCAGGAGGTGCAGGTCAAAGGCAGCCACCACCTGTGTTGCCCAGGGCTACACGGCATGAGCTAGAAAGCGATCTGCAGGTGGCTGCTACTTGTGCTGGGCTTGGAAGTGCCCAGGTGAGGTGAAACTGCAAACCACAGTTGGCTGCTGCTAGTGCCGGGCCTGGGGCCACTCAGTGAGAGGTATAGGGCTCGCTGAGGCCAGATGCTTCTTGTTTGAGAGATCTTAGGAAAATCTGAAGTATTAACCAAGACAGGCCATTTGTATGGAAAAGCCACTGGATACAGTTTGGGTGGGCCTGAAAGTTGGGTGGAGCTGTGTCTCAAAGAATCACCAGGGCCGGGTGGCCAGTGTGAGCCTGGCTGATGGAGACTTAGCGATGGTGCCCACCTGTCAGGTCTGTTGGTGGGAGGAGTTCAGAAGAAAGGAGGCTATGCCAGCACATTTGTCTGGCAGGAAGCTGCCATGCCCAGCTCTTGCCCTGATGCCCAATTTAGTCCCTCCCTGTATGTATGTCACTGGTGGTGCCTTTTGAGCTGCTGGCCCAGCACTGGAGCTCAGAGGGAGTGAGTCAGAGTAAGTCCGTGCTCAGGCCCTTTAAGAGGAGCTGCCAGGGACTCCCCAGAAGCCCTCCATCTCCCTCAGCCACAATCTCCATTGGCTTTCACAGCCAGAAGTTATGGAGACTTCTCTTCCCGGCACTGGATCCCTGGCTGGGGCGCCTGGTGTGGGGCTAGGACTCCTCACTCGAGGGAGAACCCTGGCAGCTGAGATATCCCTCTAGATTTTTATCTGCTACATGTGGGTGTGGGACCAGCTCATTCTGCATCTCTGTCCTTCCTACCAGTCTCAAGGTGGCTGCTCCTTTTAATCCTTAGTTTTAAGACTTCTGTTCTAATAGATTTCAGGTAGATCTGATTGACTGGCTTGTTCTATAGTTTGGCTGCGGGAGGGTGTGAGTACCACATTTACCTACACCACCATCTTGATTGGAAGTCTGAATTTCACTTATTTTTATGCATCCTACCTTTCCATCCAGTCTGCAGCCTCGTTGAGGCTAAGATCTCATGTGTTACACCAGAGAAACTGCAATTACCTTTGTCTTCCTCAGAGCTTAGCAGAAAAAGGGCTGGATTCCTGAGTTGAATGAATAAAGGAGTACAGCCAACTCCACAGCTGACTCATTCTTCTTGAGTATAAAACTCTCCCTTATATTTTCCTGGTGTCCACCCAGAGTCTATCTAGCCCAGAGCTCCAGCCCTCCGTAGAACCTCAAAGATATCTGACTAAAATACCCCAGTTGTAGCCTGAGCAGTTTCTTGTTTGCTCTAGCATCATGGCCCCATAGTTGCCTGGATACCCCCCTTACTCCCCAGGCTCACCAACTTTGCCAGCTCCCCAGATGCGGGGAGGAGGAGGGAAGGTTCCAGATGCTCCACTCCAGAAAGAACAGGTGTGCTGTGGAGCAGGGAGCTGGAGCTGGCTGGGACTGGGGTTGTTTTGGAGCCTGTGAGCCCCAGAAGTGGGTAGGGCACGGGGAGGGAGCCTGCTTGAAGCTGGAGCCAGCAGCAACTTGCCTGCACTTTGTCCTTATTCTTTCATCCCAGCCCTCAGAGCCCCTGAGTTTTTCAAAGGAACAGGCCAACGGGCTGGAAATGCTCTGCTGGGGGTTGAGAGGGACGGCCTTCAAGGGGGGGCATTCCAAGCATTCTTTACTTCACTAGGGGTCAGGCAGTGGGGCAGAGCTGGGCGCAGCTGCGCAACACTGAGTAAAGGGGATTTCTTTGGAGAGAGAGAATAAAGGAGGCGGGGGTATCTCCAAGCAGCAGGGGACAGAACTGCATGGGGGAGGGGTGGAAGACGAAGTAGAGGTTGGGGGCGGGACTGCACAATCTGCCAAGCCCAGCTCTCGGTTTAGTGCCAAAGGCAGGAAGAACAAATTGGGACTTTCAGCCCAGGGCTCTCCCACCTGTGTGTATGTATCAGGGCAGAATCGCTAATGGAGGTTTATCAGGGGAACTTTTGGGAGCCAAGAGCTGGGTATTTGTTTTGTTTTTATTGAGCAGGTTCTCTATTTCCCAGCAGGAGTGTGTGTTGAGAGAAGGCTCAAAGATCTGCCCCCCCACCTCCTCAAACAGAACGACAGAGGCTATTTTCAATCACCGGTCTGGTTTTTAATGGAGTGGGTTTTTTTCTGGCCACAGAGAAGGGAAGAGGGACCATCAGGTAGATAGAATCAGGGTGTGGATGAGGGAGCCAGAGGCACCTCTGGACAGGGCAAAGGAACACGTGGATTTATAAAAGGGCCCTCCTTCGTCAGGAATCATTGCAAAAATATTACTTTGTACACAAAATTACATGTATATCGGACTTTCCAGAACATAGTATTCACATTATTGAAAACAGCGAGATTCACTTTTGTAAAAACACATTGCTAAAAACATAAATAGAACATTCTAGGGTCCTGAAAACCCACAGAAACAGACACATTCATTCTGCATAGCAGGAGCAGCTTGGAGGCTGGAGAAGTTCACAAAGCCTTTGAGGTTCAAGGTGGGGTCCAGAGTAACCTGGGCCCCTTGAGATGATGAAGTCCAAAGCAGCCTGAGCCATTTCACGTCTTTTAGATTTATAGCAGCGACTCCAGGAGGCTTGGGGGAGGTTTGCAGGACAGTAAAGGAGAGAACTTTTGAGGAAACAGAGGTTGTGTTTTCTTCCTGCTGGGAGAAATAAGGAAGGGCACACTCTAGGAGGCTGTTCCTAGGATGTCCCAGGCACACTAGGAGTTTCCATATTCCAGTTTCAGTGCCTGGTGGGGATGGGAATGTGTATATGAAGAGTTTCCATCCCTACCTTGGCAGGAAGGCACCACGAACAAACGCTCACTGCAATAAAGGAGATGGGTACTGATAAGAGTGCTCTTTCCAGATTTCTGTGGTCCTACTGTGTGTATACAAAACAGAGAACCTGGACTTGGCGATGGACCTTCTCTACTCCTTTCCTCTTTCCGTCTTCTAGCTTCTTGGTTCAACAGGGCTGAAGACACTGAATCCTCAATGCATTTCACTTACCCATTTTCCTCATGTCCAACCCTCCCCAGTGCTAAATTGCCAACCATCTCAGCCTGCTGGGCTGGGATGCTGGTCCCAGGACGCAGGGGAAAAGGCAGCTCCCCTCAGGGTGTTACCAGCTACATCTTAGAGCCTGTCCAGGTAGGGCAACGTCCCCCACCCTCAGCTGAGCTTTGAGCAGACCCCGAGTGCCTGTCGATAGGCCTCTGTTACCTCCTGGCAGTCTGTCAGGGAGAAGCAGCTTTCACCCAGGGAGTCTTGCCTCCAGCGCCTCAGGCCCCTGCTTCCAGGGCCCTCAGAGGGGGGCTTCTCAAGCCCTGTGAGGTTGTCCACAGACACACAGCCCCGCAGCAGGTGCTCGGGGAGCCGTTCAGGCAAGTCCAGCTGGTCAAAGGACTCAGAGGACAGGATGCTGTCCTCACTCACAGCCCCCGAGGGGCGGCCGGCCCGGGCTGGAGGGCAAGGCGAGGCCAGCTCATTCAAGGAGCCGAAGGCAGTGGGGGCCGTGAGCTCTAGGGCTGTGCGGGAGAACTTGCCGTTGTGCTTGAGGATGCCCTTGCGATGGAGGAGCAGCCCTGAGGCCGGGGGGGGCTTCTGCTCCGTTGCGTCCCCACTCATAAACACGTCCCCTGCATCCAAGAGCTCCCCAGACTCGCTGGGTTCAGGAGAGGAGTAGTAGCCGGATTCCCGCTGCCGAGACTTCTTGAGGATGCCCTTCCTGGGGAGCAGTGGGGCAGCCTGCCCTGGGCTCCCGGGGGCCGGGCTGAGCTCCGAGTCCTTCCCTGCCCAGTCCGAGGAGGCAGACACCTTCTTCTTGAGAATGCCCTTTGGTAGCTTGAGGTTGCTCTTGCTAGGACGAGGGGAGGTGTCCTCAGCAGGGTCCCCCTGCAGAGGCTGGGCCATGTCATTCTCTTTGCGGGACTTTTTGAGCGAATGCTGGCGCTCCAGGCTGGCGGCCATGATCCCACCTCCGGGTGCGTGCTGCTTGAAGAAGCTGCATACCTTGGCGCCGTTCTCCAGGAGGGGGCGGGAGGACCGCCGGAGCCAGTCAGCCACGGAGGCCCTACCAGAGTCACTGCCAGGGTGTCCTCCCTCATGCAGAGGCTCCTGCTGCCCCACGCGAGTGGAATAGCCCCAGTTGACCCACCAGTGGCTGGCCACATCCTCCAGGGTAGCCCGGCGGGTGGGGTTCACCATTAACAACCACCGGATCAGGCCACAGGCATCTGGAAGACAAAGACAAGGGTCTTCAGATTGGCAGCTACGACAGCAGGCACCCGCAGTCCCTCTCACTGGCTTACCCCCATCTGTGCTAAGATACCACTCGCCCCTCTGTCAGTTCCATCCAGTCTCACCTCTGGCTCCACGCGCGCCCCAGCCAGGCCAGCTCCCAGCCTCCAGCTTTCCTGGATGGACTCTGCAATTTCCTCTTCTGTCCCATGCCCCTCAGGACTCTGAGCCCCTCACTAGCCTTGTGTATGAATGTGTATCCTTGGTCTCCTCAGAAATGCAACCCTTGGAGGGTGTGGACTATGCTCAAGAGTAAACCAAGGTTCTTACACCCTTTCTCTTGCCTACATTGTAGGTGAAAGGACAAAAAGATTTCTAAGGATGAAGGAAAAGCAGTAGAAAGTGAGACAACTATAGCACAAAGGATCTAAGTCAGACTTTAGGAAGCACTTCCCTAATATAATAATGCACGCCCATGAGGAAGGAAGAGATGGCCCCTTTCGGAGGTCATAGATGCTGGGGGCAGAGATGATGGCAGAAGGTGGGTGGAGGGTACTCTCCTCTGCACTGGGTCGTCCTCTTTACTCTACTGCCACTGTTTAACTGCGGCCTCAGGGATTAGCTTAGGATGCCCGGGGCCTGGATGAGAACAGCCAGACCTCTCACTCACCTGAGGGTTTCGGTGGCTCCCGGTAGGCCCCGTTGCTGATCTGCTTCACCAGCGTCTTATGGTCCTGCCCGTCGAAGGGCATGGTGCCATGCACCAGGATGTACAGGAGGACACCCAGGGACCAGCTGTCCACCTGCGAGAGAGAGGGGTGGGGATCAGCCAGGAGGCTGGAGGGCTTCCAGCCTCACTCCCACACCCGAGAGGAAATGGGTGCACACTGGAGGACTTGGAGGCTAGTGCGCCGGAGGGAGGGCCACCTCCCTGTCATATCCAGGATGTGAAGGAGTGACATTGCAGAAGTGACCAAGGCTCACAGGGACGGGTGCTGCCCATGGCCTTTCCTTGGCTGGGGCAGCCACACACACAAGAGCAGTGGAGAGGTCATCCCTTTGGGAATAGAGGGGGGTGGCAGGCTGGGGGCTGGGAAAGGTGGTGGGAACAAGGAAGGTGGGGGCACAGAACTAGACTAGGGGCCTGGAGGTTTAAGTTCTCATTCCAGCTTTGCCACTCCTGGCTAGAGACCTAGCAAGTCACTGCTCTGGGAGGTGTAGGGGTACGGGCTGAATTCTGTGCTCTGAGAAAGGGAACAACTAGAAAAGCAGCCCACCTGTCTCATAGGAGCTGAAGCCACAGGAAAGGGCGGAGGCCGGCTGGCGGCGGAGGGCGGACACTCACCTCTGGGCCCGTGTAGGGCTTCCCATTGACGATCTCAGGCGAGGCGTACAGAGGGCTCCCGCAGAATGTCTGCAGGAACTTGCCTTGGTGGTAGAGGTTGGAGAGGCCAAAGTCAGCGATCTGCAGGAACAGGTCAACACGGCAGGGGTCACGCCAAGGCCTGGGCTGCTCTGCAGCTTTCAGCCTGCCGCTACAAGGCTCTGGGGAGACCCAGGCCCCAGCAGAAGGATAGGATGCCCATGACCCCCGCCCCACTCTGGGCACCCGCCCCACTCTGGGCACTGTCAACAGAGCTCAGACCCTGGAGACGAGTCTTGCAGAAATTGTGTCAATGAGCACTCAGCCAGAGGTGTGGGGCTCCAGGGTCCTAGTGAGGGTCCTGTTCCCCAGGCTCCTCTGCTCTTGCGTAGGCCAATCTAGGCATGCGCTCTCCTGTCTGTGCATACCCTCCTGATCCAGCAAGCTCACCTCCCCTGGGAAGCCTTCCATTGCCTTGAGATCTCGCCCACAAAGCCCTCGTTTCCAATGGCTTGCTGTAGCCCTTGCTTATTGGTTCTGTCTCCTATTGCCACATCACTATGTTCCCCATGCTGACCTCTTTCTGTCCCCATCCCTCCTGCAGCTCCTAGTATAGGTGTGACCCATGAATGGGACTCCATGAGAAAGTGGACCAGATGGAGGGGACAGTCAACATCTCCATGCCAGTGTCACTACCTTCAGAAGCATGCCATCGTATCTCTGATTAACCACATAAGGCTGGGCTGTCCTTCCTAGCCAAGGGCTTGGCTATACCCACCCCTGGGCAGGAACATGGGGTCAGCCCAGAGTGGCTGAGAAGCAATGATGAGGGCAGAGCAAAGATCATGGCTGTCGTCATAGCCCGGGAGAAGGAACCTCCTCACAGGACTCCCTGAGCCATCTGATACTGAGGCCTTGAGAGGTCCCTAGCCCATCTTCTTGTTCCCCAGAGAGACCCTTTCTCCAGCTACCCTTGGACAGAGGCTGAGGCCAGTGCCCCACTGCCCCGATCTCTCCCTGCCCCCTGCAGAGGGTCATGTGTGTCCAGCATGGAGAGGGCCTCTTTATGAAACTTTGGCTCCTTCGTTTATGGTTTTATTGGCCTCTTATCAAGCAGATAGTAGCTGAATCCCATAACGAAGCAGGTGATTGGTGCAGATGGGAGAGTTCATGCCTGTCCGGGCTGTGCGTGTTTACTGGCTCTGCCTCCCCTCCCCCACGCCATAGCATCAAAGAAAGCCCCACCTGCTCCGGGAATTGGCTGGAAAAGGGGAATGAACTCAGTGCGAGGGCACCTCAATGTACAGGTCAGGGACTACAGGTCCTGTGTTCAGGAAAATTTTCAAGTGGGTCCAAGTGCAGAGTGTAGGGGCAGCCTGGCCATCTCGTCCTCCTGGCTCTGTGATCTGAGTTTATCTGTCAGTGTGCACTTCTCATGCCTACATTTAACTGCTGAGGCCTGGGAACCAGAAGCTGAGGGAAGATGGAGCTGGAATGTTTGGTCTCTGGGGAAAGGTGCCGAAGGGCTACCGAACTGCAGCAGAATCAAGTTTGTGTGCGTGGCACATGCGCACGTGTGCACGCAAGCAGGAAGAACACAGGGCATGGCCCTCCCCCTGCCAGTCCCAGGGTTGTGAGCAAAGGAAACGCTGGACCTAGACTCCTGTCATCCTTGGGATGTCGACAGCACAGGTCAGGGAGCCAGGAGACCTTGGTTCTAGCCTGTGTGCAGCCTCTCGCTAGTCACAGAACCTTGTGCAAGTCACCCCTTATTTTGAGGCCTTGGTCTTCCATCCATAAAATGAAGTGGGAACCAAAATATAAACCAGATCTTTGCTGGACTCCTCCTGGAACCCACTAAGGGCTCAGAGATACTTGGCTAGGGACAGTGCAAAAAGGCTGGGTGGAGAGGGAGAACTGCTGGAAACAGGAAGGGGGGCCCACCTTGATATTTCCATTGGCATCTAGTAGGATGTTCTCCAGCTTGAGGTCCCGGTGGACAACCCCGTTCTGAAAGAGGGAGGGAGGAGGGTCAGGGGAAGGTCACCAGGGAGGGAAGGGCAGAGGGCCTAGGCTGGAAAGTAAAGCAAACACAGAGGGAGCTGGGTGGGGAGCGCAAGTAGGCCGCGAATGCCCATCTTTATTGGTACAAAGCACAACAAATCACAGGTTCTTCCACCCCCAGCTGAGGGACTCAAAGCCAGAGACACCCGTGTTCCCTAGGCTGAGAGTCCAGAGTTGAGTCTGGCCTCTGCTTTGTCTCCCTGTGTGTCTCCATGGAACCTCTCTGGCCCAGTCCTGCACCAGAGCACAAGGACCACCCCTCTGAACAGGGCTGGCAGGTAGGGGCTCACCTGATGGCAGTACTGCACAGCGGAGACGATCTGCCGGAAGAAGTGACGGGCGTCGTGCTCGCTGAGCCGCTGCCGCTCGCTAATGTAGTCATACAGGTCGCCGCGGCTGGCGTACTCCATGACGATCACGATCTTGCTGCTGTTCTCAAACACTGGGGCAGAACAAGGTGGGGCGTCAGGCCCCTCTGGAGTACACTGCTTCCCCGGGGGCCACAGGCCTCTCCCTGGCCTCAGACCAGACACCTCCCTCCAGGGATGTTTGCTGATGGGGCAGGAGGTGGCAAGTAAGGGCAGGAGAAGGGCCTTTGAAGCTCTCGACATCTTCCAATAGCAACAAGTTAAGGCCAAGGGAACTGGCTCCTTGGAAGCTCTGGCTTTTGAGGATTCTCAAAACTACCCTGCAAATTCTCAGGAGGGTGGAGACACCACTGGATGAGAAGGAAAACACTTTTAGTTCAGAGTTTAGTGCTTTTTTTGCTTCATGACCTAGGGTAGATCTCTTCTAGGTCCATTAGTAAGGTCTGTCTCTTCTAGGCCCCGTCACTTACAAGCTGGGTGACCTTGGCAGGTTATTCAACCAGCGTGCCTCAGTTTCCTCATTTGCAGAGGAGGATGATAATGCCAACCTCTTAGGGCTGGGGTGAGAACTAAATAAAAGTCAGTGAAAGCTCTGCAGCTGGCTGAGCAAGCTGGCAAGGAGCTGACATAAGCGAGCACTCAATAAATGGTACCTACTGTTGGTTCATTACCAGCGTCCTTGTATACATACTAATATATAATAGTGCCCATAAAATGCCTGCCTGGAGGATCAGAAGAGGAATAAAATACATGCAAGCGCTTTGCACACTATAAAGTACAATGGAGAGCTGAGATACCCATCTCCCAACACCTCTGACTTCCCACCCAGAGTACTGCCAGGGCCTTGTCCACAGGAGCAATCAACAAATATTTTGCAATTAAATGACTGGCTGGGCTCTTGTCAGTCAGTCTGCCTAGTCTGGCCCGTCAACATGTGTGGGAGGAGCCCGCTTGTCGCCTCCGGCCTTGTTCTGGCTCCAGCCCTCTGGAAAGGTAGGGAATGACTGGGTCACCAAACTGGCCCTTCCTCTGAGTGTATGTCAGAACACGTATGTCCCTGACATTGCATCTTTGTGTCAAACAGGTCCTAGGAGTTTGGCTTGCTCGGCCAGCCCCAGGGCTACCGCCGCTTGCCTGTGAGAGGGAGCTGAGAAGGACTGCCTCTCCCAGGAGGTGTCCCAGGTCCCAGGCAGTTGGATATATGGCCAGGAGGACTGGGCTTTTTCCCAGGGGAACCTGAGTGAGTGGCCGTGGTGTGTGGTAGCCCAGCCTCTCCCCATGTGCCTAGCTGCGCCCCTGCCCCGTGGTTCTCACATCGCTGCAGGCTTTGTACCATGAAACTGGGGGTCCAGAGCCAGCGCATTCTGGACAGCAGCTAGGTTAGAATTCATCTCCCCAGCCCCCGTCCTTGCCTCCCGAATGCTGTGGCATGTTGAGGACGGCTCTGGGGGAGCCCTGCATACACCTAGGAACTGCAATAGCCCTATATCTGCTGGATCTGAAGGTGAAGGACAAGCCACATCCTGAGCTTCAAAGCTCAGTTCCCAGACCTGGCTGGGGATATGGGCGTGGGACATGCACGCGCACACCAGTCACCAAGCTCAGCCTCGTTTAACCAACACTCTGCCATCTGCCCGCTCTTCCCTGGGGGAATACATAGAGATACAATTAGCTTTCTCAGCTACTTGCCTGGACTCCTTGTGGGACAGGCTCAGGCCACAGGGCCACGTCAGTGGCTCTGCCCTTAGTCTTCCTACGAATAGAACCCAAGAGAGAAGGCTTCCCTTATATTGTGCTTCCCGCCAAGAATATTCAGAAAGAGGACAAAGCCATAGGCTCCCTTTCTTCCCTCTGCTCCTATCCTTTATTTCCCATCTAATTAATATTATGTAAAGGCTAGAAGCAAACAGGTGTGTGTGGGAGGGTGCTCCCCCTCTTCCCCTGGTCACCTTCTCTTGCTCACTTTGTTGTCCGGGTCACAGAGAACAGGGCAGTTGGAGTGGAAAGCCAGCGCTGATGTCAGAGCGAGAGGAGGCTGAGAAAGATCACAAGGAGAGGCAGGAGCCAGCCTCATGGCAGGAATGATTCAGAGCACAGGGCAGACTCTAGCAGGCCTGGCTCTGGGCACCCATGCACCTGAGGCAGGTGCAGGTCTCTGTATGTTTCGGCTTCCCCCGTATTGCTGAGGCTCTCACTGGGCTGGGGAGGTAGTGTTCAAGTTTGGAAAACCTAACAATACCAACAAAAAGCATACAGTTTGCTGAGTTCCTCTCATGAGCTGAGCACTTAGTGACATTTAATTTGACCTTTGCAATTACCCTATGACGTAGGTGGGATTATCCCGTTTTACAAATGAGGAACTGAGGCCCACCCAGAGACTAAATTGAATAGCTGTCCAAGTCATACAGCTGAATTTCAAATCCAGCTTTTGTCCAACTCCAAAGCCCGCGTTTCTTTTATTTCTTTGTATCATCTGTTCTGACTGCGCGCGCGCACACACGCACACACACTCAGTCCCAGATTCAGCCGGCTTCTGTACCTTCATGGATGGCAATGATGTGGGGGTGGTTGAGTGATGACATGATCTCGATTTCTCGCCGAATGTGCATCAGATCTTTCTCATCTTTGATTTTGTCTTTCCGGATTGACTTGATGGCCACCTGGGAACAGAGAATGCTGGGGAGTGAGGGGAAAGGTCTGGCAGGGAAAGGTGCCCTGAGGGCACCCTCCAGGGGCTGACTCTGGTTTGCCTGCAGCTGCTGCAACGGCCAAGGATGCGCCCAGAGAAGCCACTCCGTCCTTCGCCAGGGAGGGTGGCAGAGAGGCTGAAGGTTGCCTTGTCTAGAGAAGGTTCTTCCCTGGGGTGGGTGTAGTCCATGCAGCAGGAAGGAGGAGGGACCAGTGACCTTATTCAGAGGCCACAGATGAGCAAAGAAGGTACTGACTGTTTGGAAGGCTGATGCTTTGTGATTTACAAAGCAAATTCGCGTGCTACACCAAGAGGACAAGGATTTGCTCACCACTGGATCCCTGATGCCAAGCATAGTGCCTGGCACAGAGTAGGCACTGACTAACCGTTTGTTGCATTAGTGTTAATTGGCCCTCACAATTGTCCGTGGAGGTAGGCACAGAAAGCATCATCATCCTCGTTTATCGGTGATGATGATACCGGTACCCAGAGAGGTTAAATGACCTGCTCAAAGTCACACTGTCACTAATGGATACCGACATGATGAATCTTGAAAACATTACACTTAGTGAAATGAGCCAGACACACAAGGCCACATGTTGCTCAGGCCTACTGATATGAGGTGACCAGAACAGGCAGGAAAATGCACAGGACAGAAAGTAGAACAGAAGTGACTGGGGGAGGGAAGGGAAGAGGTGGGGATGGCGGGATGGGCGGCTCTCGCTTAATGGGTATGGAGAGCTTCTGTTGGGGCGATGACATGATTTGAGAAACCCACAGTGGTGATGGATCCACAGCCTGGAAACTGTGCTTCGTGTACTTGATGAATTGTATGCTTACATGATGAATTTTATGTTATATATATTTTACCACCCAAAAAATTTGTGGGGGAAAAAAGCAGTCTCTTCAGTCTAGGAAGGAATGTCCCTCTCCTGGCAACAAACAAAAAACAACAGACAGGTACACAGAGTTCTCTGCGCTCTGCTGTCTGGTCTGTAAAGGTGAAAATACCATAAAAGGATTAAACCCTCCAGCTGGTTTGCATGGCTCAGGAAGGGTGGGGTGAAACAAGAGGAAATGAAGAAAGAGCTGCCAAGATCCCTTTAAGCAAAGCTCTTGGAGACTGAGGGGTCTCCTCTGCTCCATCCACTCGGGGCCCAGGAGACAGAACGGGGAGAATCACAGCCGTGCATGTTGTGCGGATGTGTGTGTGAGTGTGGTGTGTACCGAAGACACAGCCTAGGGAGTCAGGAGACCTGGTTCCCCTCCAGGCTCTGTCTCTGTCCCCTTGGGCAATCCCGCCCCCTCTCAGAGCCTTGCTTTTCAGTGAAACAAACAGGATGAGGGATATGTGAGGTGCTTTCCTGCTCTGATTCTGGGAGACGAGCCACGCCAATGCCACGGCCCTCAGAGGCGACATTGCTGGCACTGGGTGCTGTGCAAGGGGCGTGTCACAGGCTGGTCAATTCCTGTCAAGTCTTGTCCAGGTACACCAATGGTAAATACAAGACTTCTGCTTCATGGGAGACAGGCAAGCTATGAAATATCTGAGGGCCTGGACTGAGGTAAACAGCTCCTCATTCAATTTCCCAGGAGGGTTTGCCTCTTCTCGAGGTTCAAAAGGAAACAGAAAAAAGGAAAGCACTTCTAGAAGGGAGGGGCCTTAATTCCCCCTTTCACAGGGCTCTGGAGGCAGACAATGGCTTCCTGCTCACAGGGACAGTGGACAAGAATGCGGAACAGCCGTAATCCCACATGGAGTTGCTCAGTGCCCAGGGCCTGGTCACCCTGGCAACGGGCCAGAGATGGCGTGCCCTCCACCCCACTCCTCCCCTGGAGCTGCCTCCGTGAAAGAGGGGAGGCCCAGCTCTCTGCCGTCCCTGAACAGGGCAGGCAGGACAATGGCAGCGGGAGCGACAGTCACCATGGAGCCTCCCCCAAGATGCTGTCGAGGCCCACGCTGCAGATGCAGGTGCTCTCTTCACGCCCTCACCCCTTCTGCTCCAAACCACTGCCATGAGCTGAGCAGAAAAACCCCCGATTCAGAATTGGACAGGGGGTGGGGATGGGGACAAAGGGGCTGGAATCCTCCTTCAACTCTGAGGATCCAGCCTGGAGCGTGGTTCCTACACACCGCTCTCTCCATTCTCCTTTTTTCTCCCTGAAGACAAGATTTTATGGGCTTGCTCTTTTTTCTCTAAAATCCTTCATTTTAATAATCAGACAATGGGTAAGGTATTATGAGCTCTTCAGATAAAGGGGCCATAAAAACTGTATTAACAGATAGTAAAAACACATATAAACTACAAACCTAGGTAACAAAACAGAGCTATCTGAAAGCTTAAGAGGCAAAATTATACAAAAACAAAGCACGTCTTGGATGTCTAACTGTGTGTACACAACAATGAGAGATATCATCCTAGGCTTAGGAAGTAGAGCTCTAAAAAAAGACAAGACCTAAAAGAAATGCGGTTCCCCCAAAAGAAAGGGGTCTGAGCAGCCCTAGAACGACTCCCTGTACGGACAGAGGGTACACGAGTCAAACTTCGAGATCCAGTTCTTCTTTCAAATTTGCTAGGACTCTAAACCAAAATTGTTAATCTTCAGTGAACAGTTCCATCCTCCTGTGAGCTTCTGCCCTGGCCTCAGGGGGCTAGGGCAAAGGGGCCCCAATTATCCGCATTAGGTCCTAGGAGAGCACAGCCTGACGGGCACTTCCCGGGAAAGAAACAAATTATGTCACCCGGCCTCCACCAGTTCCTAAGCAGGTGACAGACAAGAGTGATGTGTCACTGCCCTGGTGACAATCCATCCCAGCCCCGTGAGACAGGCCTCTAGCTACCTGCTGGCTGGCATATCAAAATAAATAAGATAGAGCAAAAGCTCAGGCCCAGACAGAGGTCAGGACACGAGAGTATTCAACAGTTGTTTACTGATGAACGCAAATCACAGAAGAAATATTTATTGGTTGTTACTGGGTTGGTCCCTGACTGACTGGACCTGTGCCCAGATGAGATTTTCTGCCTTTCCTCCTAGGCATGGGCGGAGAGTCAACCTCTGTTACAAGCGCTAATTTTGAGGGACCTTTGTCCTCATCTGCAAGATAGTTGAGCAACTATTCTCTAGAAAAAAAAAATATACTGACTAGAGCCAAGGGGGAGGGTAACAATCGTTGAATGGCTCACCCAGAGGTAGGGAGACCACGTGCCTGGAGACGATGCTGGCTCATCCCGTATCTTTACTCAGAGTGGACCTTTCTCTCCAAAGTACCAAAGTTTAGACAATATATTATATGGCCACCCTACCAGCAGGAACAGGGAAGCCAGGCACAACAAATACATTCATGTAAACATAAACACCAGGTCCTTGGAGTAGGTGCCAAGAGCCCAAGTATCTCATCCTCATTTGCCCCTACAGAACTATGCAGTTCAAGACAAGTCACTTCAATGATCTGGTTCATTGGCCTGGTTGGTTTTAATGTCCTCATCTGGAAAATGAAGGTCATTTATTCTCCAAACATCTGCCGAACACCTACTATGTGCCTGGTGCTATGTTTGGTGCTGGGGATTTAGACAAAAATTGGACAGTCCCCGCATCAAGGTCCTCAGTCCAGTGGGAGGACCAGCACTTAAATGAACCCCAGCCTAGTGTGATGAATGTGACGGCCGAGGTCCCTGCCTGCCAGGGGCTCCAGGAACACTGGAGAGAGCTTTCCTTGCCTGGAGGAGCAGGGGAAATCACCTGGGGGAGGGAACTTTGTTTTTTAGATCTCGAGGGATGAATGGGGTTTGCCAAGCCAAGGAGGGTAAGCTCGGGAGGGGCAACGGGGGCATTCCAGGCAGAGAGAAGTGTTTGAGCGAAGGCCAGAAAGAAAGGAACCATTCACAAACGTGCACATTAGGATCTCTAAGTGTCTTCAGAAATGGGTCACCTGCTACTGTGCCAGGAAGGTGCTAGCCAAGGATTGCTATAATGAGCTTGTTAGGAGGCCCCATGCTGTACCTATGTTAACCTGCCTGACAAAATTCCAGTGATACGGGCCCAGGGATTTTCCTGCCCCTGCAGCCTTGCATGTTGGAAAGGCAGCAGGGCTAATTCCCAACCCCATTTTGCAAATGGCAAACACTGAAGTCCAGAAAGGTGCATCGACTCTTCCAATGTTCCCTGATACATCAAGACAGAGTCAGGATCCAAGAGGGAGGGGTGTTACCTGGAGAAGCTGCCATCTCAGAAGACAAAAAGATCCTTGCGGATGCCCCGCCCTGCCCCCAGCTCCCTGCCTCTCACCCCTGGAGATGGGAGTGCCCCACAGCCTGCCCCGGGCCAAGCTGTACAGCACAGAAAGCCGCCCACGTCCCACTTACACAAACACGCTAGAGAGATGGGTGCTGGGGTTCAATTGGTTAAACACGGCCCCCACCCTCCCCAGCTCCCCACCAACTGATCCCCCAGATCAGGAATGATCTGGATTCAGGAAAGGGTGGCAGAAAGGTCTTAGAAAAACATGATCTAAAGGTACTGATTCCAGGTCCCAGGAAAGAGGGTGCGAGCTGGGCATCTCTGGTCATAGCTCCTGCCAGGAGTTGGAGCCAAAGTCCTTGACTCCTCTCTTCCTTTCAAGGAGCAGCTGCCATCTAGGAGGCGAGGCAAGGAGCTGGAGGATGACCCATTTAGATAGTGGAGCAGAGGTTGGGCTGGGCTTGCCTGGGCTGGGCAGAGTGGGGCATGGGCCTAGGAGTGGGGGCTCGCCATGCCTCCAAGCCTGCCAGAGAACCAGGCAGGGAGACGAATGGGCTCCAAAAATGAAGGGAGCCTGAGCTGCTTCCCCTAAGCTCCCTGCTGTACCCAGCCTTCTTTGCCACCCTCCTGCCCACTCTGCCAGGTTGCTGGGCAAGGCAATTCCCTGCCCAGCTCTCTTGTGTGGTTTGGCCAGAGTCCAAGGACAAGAGTCGCCCGCAGCCAGAGCCTCCCTCCCTGCTGCTGAGCAGGCAGGTGCAGGAGAAGCTGGGAGCGGGGTTGGGGGGGCAGCGTCAAGCCAAGAGATCTTGGGCAGCTGGCCAGGTGGGAGCCCTTCTCCAGAGCAGGGGCTGAAGGAGACAGTAGGACTTTGAACAAAGCAGAAACCAAAGTGGTCAGGCTTAAGGAAGCTGAGCACAACCCATTCTCTTGCTCAGGGCAGAACAGACCCTAGATGGATGCCTCCACGAGGGAAGGGCCTAGTCAAAGCAGCCTTGCTGGGGTGACACTGTGTCAGCTATTGTGCTCAGCACTTTCCATATGTTATCTTATTTAACCCTATGAGAATACCACAAGGTCGGAATTATTATAATCCCCACTTTACAGATGAGGAAACTGAGATACAGAGAGGCCACAAGAGCAATAGAGGCAGGATTTGAACATTTGCAAGCTGACTGTGAGCTAAGCAGCCATCCCAACAAGGTAAAAAGCAGGAATGCAGTGTATATAGTTCACCCACCCAGGGTCCCTTGACAAAGGCAGTGTGTGAGGAGTTGCGAGTCGGTTCTCGGGGACTCCTCCAACCCTCTGCACTGCCTGAAGCTCTGAGAAAGGTGGCTGGAGCTGACTGTTGAAATGACAAAGCACAATGAGACAAGCCTGAGCTCCGCCGAGGGCTGACTCCCAGACCAAGACTCAGTATTGGACATGCAGGACCTGGGGTGGTCTAATCAGGGGCCTGTGTGGCGGGAATGCCGCTAACCAGCCATAGGTAGGACAAGTCACGTCTCCCCTCGAGGCCTCCCTTTCCCCATCTGTCAATGAAACAGTAGGACAGCCTCAGTCATTTTCAAACCCCACAAAGCCATCTAACATGGAAGACAGGAGCACCTCTGCACCAGATCGCTATCCCCTTGGACACCCCTCACGTTCCTCATGGAACTCCTTGGGGGAGATACTTCTGTGCAGATCATCTGGAATGTTTTGAGGGACTTTCAGAGCAGGTGCTTTTCTCTTTGTGGGGAGGAGTAGTCAGAGTGCGGGGAGAGTCGCAGGAGGAAATGTCATTTAGATATCAGGAATGTACCTGGAGACTGGAAGATCCAGAGCAAATATTTGTTTTTCCCTTGATGCTCTCCTTGAGTAGCCATTAGTCTTGCCCACCTGCCCCTCCCTCTGGACAGTCCCATCTGGCCTCTGACATTCTCATCTAGGCAGGTTGGGAATGGGAAATGTTCTGGAAAAGAGGAGGGAAAATTGGGATGGGAGTCACTCAGCAGGCCTTCCTCTGAGTCTAACCTCCACCAACAATCTCAGTGCATCTTGAGTGGGGCCTTGGGTGGGCTCTCTCCCACTGAAGAGCCTGAGGCACCAGGCTGGTCTCCCTTCAGGGAGAGCAGTGAAGAGGCAAGAATGAGGGTGGGGTGGGGAAGAGGACTCCTTTCTAGAATTGAGAAGCCATTAGCACGGCAGGCAACTGCTCTCCAAGGAGGCAGAAGACCCTGAGCAAGTGCCCAGCAGACACACAGGGCAGTCTATGGGTCAGGGAGGTTCAGAACAAGTCTCGTCCCTACTGATCTTGGCTCCCTGAATATGGCAAAAGGCAAGAGGCAAGGGAGTACCTTCTGAACTCCGTGTTCTGATGTAACAGGAACTGGGATCCCTGCTTACAGTTGCTGAGGTTTGAAAACAGAAAGCTGGTTTATCTCATTCCAGAATCAGTGAGATCTCTCTCCCTCCCTACCTCTCTCTCTCTCCTGCACACAGTGACCTAGGTCAAGAGCCTGATGGGATCTCTAAACTTAAATCTCAGTTTCCCAGTTACTGGGCCCTCCAGACACCCCAGTCCAATCTGCCCTGCCCCCCACAAGCAGCTATTTTCCAGCCAAGCCCCTGACAAAGCCTAGGCCCAGTAGTCTGAAGCCTGGAGCCTCACCAGGCCCTCACACTTTATAGAAAGAGAAAGGAAAAGAAAGCCAGGAAGTATATAATTGCCCAATAGCTGTAACCTGGCAGCAGGCAACTGGGGACCATGCCAGGCATTAGAAGGAAAAACATACTTGGTCCTGCTGATGGGGACATAAATCCATTCCCTTTTGCCAGCATCCATTCTCCTTCACCAATGAAATGACTTCTTGAATTTCAAACCAGCTACTGGCTGCTAAAGCAAACAATGTGGGGAGGGAACTGCAGCCATTGGCGATGGGGCAAACCATGGCCACACACACATGCACATGTGCTTTCACATGCCTCATAAGCAGCAGCTGGATTTGGCAAAACAATCCAACAATCCCTAGATCACCTGCTCTAAAAGGCTTGTTAAAATACAGGTTAACCCTGGCTGGTGTGGCTCAGCGGATTGTGTGCCGGCCTGTGAACCAAAGTGCTGCTGGTTCAGTTCCCAGTCAGGGCCCATGCCTGGGTTGTGGGCCAGGCACCCAGTTGGGGGCGTGCGAGAGGCAACCGATCAATGTACCTCTCACATACTGCTGTTTCTCTTCCTCCTTTTCTTCCTCCCTCCCCCTCTCTCTAAAAGTAAATAAATAAAAATAAAAATCTTAGAAAAATAAAATAAAATGCAGATTTTTTGGTCCCATCCTAGACCTTCAGAATAAAATCCTTTGGGTGTGGAGCCAGAGAATAGGCATTTTAAACAAGTACCCCAGATGATTCCAATGCCCATTAAAATCCAGTTTGAGAACCATTGTTAACTAAGTTTTGGCAAATTTGCCATCTTTTCAGGGCTGTCTTTTCCAGATATAAATATCAGTTCTCACTGTGGATTCCTCGTGTCAGGGACAATTTAAATTCACATTTGCATCTCATTCAATCCTCATAGCAGCTCGTGAGGGGAGGCTGTGTTTTCTCCATTTTTGCAGAAAGGGAACCTGAGAGTACAAAGATAAATTAATTGCTCAAGGTCCCATAGATTACTGCTACTACTATTACTACTACATGTACACACACACCAAATTAAACCTTCCTGAAAAGGCCCCAAACCCAAAGGTGTCTTGGGGCATTGTGGACCTTGCACCAGAGCCTGGTTTCACATTTCCCAGGATAAAAAACCCATCCTACTGAAACTTCGACTCATTCTAAGAACTAAATAAAAGGACCTAAGTGTCTAACCCACCCCCACTCCGCCCTGTGCAGGTCTCCACAGTGTGCTGGGCTGCCAGGCTAGTAGAGCCGAGTTGAGAGCTGGACACCTCATTCATTCATTCATTCATTCAAGCACACACACACATTTACATTTACTAAAACGCTACTATGATCAGGTGCCTTCCACTTCCTCTCCCCAATCCACTCATTTGGAAGTCTGTTCCAAGCAAAATCCAACTTAAGTTCCATCTTCTTTCGGGAGCCCTCTCATCCCAAGACAGGACGCTATTTATCTCCTAGGCACCCTGCACCAACTGTCTGCCTCACTTACTGGCCATCGTCACATGCTGTGCGGTGTTGTTGGGGTTCTCAGGCCACGAACATTGTCCCTTCAATCATGGACAGACATATCTGTAATAAACACCACCATCACTTCCCTCCCCTACCCCATCCCTCAACCTCAGCTTGGTAAAGACTGATCGGGGCTACTCCCCGGAGCAAGGCACTAGCCCCCGGCCCAGCCCAGCCCCGAGCCGCCCGCCCGGCCTGCGCCGCGAGAGGGAGCCGCACTCACCAGGCGCCCCGAGCTCTCCCTCGCCTTCTTCACCTTGCCGTACGTGCCCTTGCCCAGGGTCTCCAGGAATTCGTAGCGGTGCCGCAGGTTGTGCTTGTGGTGGTGCCGCTTCACCGCCTGCTTCTTCATCAGCGGCTTGGGCGACTTGAGCCCACTGGCCAAGACGGCGGCGGCCGCCGCAGGAGCTGGGCCGTGACGCCGGGGTAAAGCCAGCGACTCCATGGCGAGCAGGAGCTGAGAGAGGGCTGAATGGGCTGAGTGGGGACGGGCTGCGGGGGTAGATCTACAGGCACACGTCCCGCACACCGCACGGGAACCCACGGCCGCCCCGAAGCGCGCGCCCAGGCGCCGCATTCCAACTTGTTATAAACGTCCTGAGCCGGAGGCCCTGGCCACACCCTCCCGCGCCCATTGGTCTGCTCGCCGGCTGTGGGTGACTGGAGCCGCCCGCATTGGCTCGCCCAGGCCTCCGGCCCCGCCTCCTCTACGCCACACTGTTGGGAAAGGTGTCAGTGGGCCCTGCCCACCGGCCCCACTCCAGGAACAGGCGCGGGGACCAAAGGACGCCGGTAGAGGCTGCTTGGTGGGTTGTCTGGAAACTTTGAGGGGCACTGAACTGCTCTTGCCTCTGAGTGGCAAACAGCTGGTGGTACTGGGTAGTACCACCTGCTGTTTTTCTCTTTTGCTGTGCTCTCATTGAGCAAGGCGCAATCTGACAGTACAAGAAGCCACCAAAGTATTTCTCTGTCCTGAGTGATTTGCCTTTCTCAAGCCAAAATCTATAAAGTCACTTCGCCATTTCTTTAAGACCTTAGAGGGAAAAGCAGATGGAACGAGAGGGAGGTAGACTCCAGCCAAGTGGGAAGGCTGGTGGAGAGCTGGTCCAGGGTTCTGAGTTCATCTGTCTCCAGTTAAACCAACCTTGACTGGATCCCAAGAATGAGGTTCTGGAAAGTTCTTACTTCTTCATCAAAGAAGGCTTCTAGGGTTGAGTGGGTCCCTCAAGATGTGCTGGAACTTATAAGTGTTGGAAGGAGGCAGAGAGAACCAAAGGGAAACATTCATTCATTAAAAAATAAAATAAAATTACACTCCCATTATTTCACTTGTATCCCTAGGTTCATAAATAGTTGCCCACCCACGGCTTTCCTCTCTGTGATTTTGGAATCAAGAGGACAGGTGGTAGGCCTTGAGGTTTGGCTTGGTTTTTAATGCCTGAGCATTAGGTCCAGAATCCCCATTCTCAGTGTCATTTAGAGTGACATGAGACTATCCATAGGCTCCCCTCACCAAAGGTGGAGGTAACGGGGAGAAAGGAACATTTTCTTTGAGTCTTTATGACAACCCAATCCCGTGAAATGGGTATTATTCTGCCAAAAGCCACACAGCGGACGAGAAACTGGGGGCAGAACTGGGATTCAGACTCCACGGAGGACAGTGCCGTCAGCGATGTCTTCAGGGCATGCTGAGGGTCAAGGAGGACTAGGCCCCCACTGACTTGTGTTTAGTGTCTGCCCACTTTCCTATTTCCACTGATGCTTCGAACCTTTCTAGTGTGAATTAGGGATGGAAAAATGGGGCCCTTTGCCCCCTTGTGGTTGGAGAGGCTCCGTTTAGGCAGTATACCAACCCCGCCCCCCCCCCCCAAATCTGGAGGGCCATGGGAGGGGGCAGCCATTTCGGCGCTTTTCCCTCTACTGGCCTCCCCTCTAGCTCTGAACCCAGAGCTAAAATAGAATGCAAAAATAGAATGAGGCCCAGGTGGCAGTTCCCCTGACCTGCTGTTTCCTTTCTGCCTTGAGACCTGTGTCCATTCCTGGGCACCCAGTTAGCTGGGACCATCCAGACGTGTAAGGGCTCTCAAGAGGAAGCATGGCTAACATGAAAGCAAGCACAGAGCGTGGTGTTGGGAGACCTGAGGTCTAGTCGTGACTGATACCAACCAATTCTGTGGCCTTTTACCAATCATTTAATCATTCCACAGATACTGGGGCTCACTAGGTGCTGGGCCTACAGCTATGATGGTGACAAGATAGACATGGTCTCTGTGCTCAGAAATTTCTCAATCTAGTGAGAAATAAACAAGCAAGTCTTAGACAGAGGAAGATGAGTCCATAATGGGAGAAGACAGAATGTCCTTGGGGTATATAATGGGAACACTGAGCCCAGACTGGAGGAGGTTGGTCAGGATGTGAGACAGTGAGCCACATGAATCAACATTTCCTTATAAGTAAGATGAAAGAATTCTACAGATGGGCCTAAAATCCCCTGTCATGCTTAATCTAGACTCCTATGGATGCTTTCAGGTGTCCCCAACACCAAAGGGCACTCAATAGAAAGAAGCTTATGAACCAAAGGAATGCAAGTGCAGTGGGATTCAAAGGCTAAAGTGATAGCAACTATTTCCTTCCCTTCATTATCAGCTAACCTGGTAATGGCAGGTGGGGGAAGCTCTTCGGTCCCTCTTACACCTTCCCCACCCCCCCTTCAGCTCCCTTTCACCAGAATGGGAATCCCCACTTAGGGGGCACACCGTGGATGACCAAACACCCTAGAGGAAAGAGATCTCCAATCCCCCGGGATCCAACCAAGATGCACCCTGGCAGCTCCTGCAGGGCTACAGGGTAGGACTGGGTGGCGAGCGGATCTGGCTGATGTCTGTCCACAGCAAACAGGCAACAGAGGCAGACAAACAAACATGCGACTAGGAAATGATCTTAACGGCTGAAACTCAGCTCTTAAATTCCTTAAAGTAAGACCTGAATGCCTGATAAGGATTCTAATTACATCAGGTGACTTGGCTGCCAGCAGATTCTGGGGAATTCCTAGGTCATGTGCTCCACTGTGCCGGGAGTCTGGGCTGAGCTGTCTCAATTCTGCCTGCCCCGCTGTCCAGTCCTGGGAGGAGGAAGCCTACCCCCACGCCCCAACCGCATGCCCAATGGCTGATCGATGTCTGAAGGGCTCTGGGAATAACTATTCTTTGGGCCTACTAGGTGCCGCACTCGGAAGACAATGAGGAAAAAGTGCCTGTCTCAGGCCTTACACCTGTGGCAATCTGTGTGTCTGTGTGGGCCTGGACTAGTAAAGGGAATGTCAAAATTCGGTTCAGAGTAAGGACTGCGGTGACACATGGAGTGCAGGGTGCTCACAGGGGGGCAGGTGTGGGACACCAAGGCCAGGCCTTGGGGGTGTGGTGGGGAGTGGGCAGTAGGGCAGGTCTCCTGAAAAGGAAATACTTCTAGGATGAGTCTTGGGTGCCTAAGAATTAGCTCCCTGCTCTTAGAAGTTTACAGTCTAGTAAGGGAAACAAGATAAACACAAAGTTCACTGTATAATCCAAGGTAGAAAGTAGGAAGACTATCAAGAGAGATACAAAGTGCCACGTGGGGCTTAAAAGGTAGGTCTTGAAAGGACTTGCCAACTGGGCCTTGGAGCAGGAGGGAGAGTGGGATTTGGTAAACTGTGAGGAAAGATGGGGCAGGGTGGGAGAGAGGGGAGGAGACGCTGAGAATGGCGAGTGTAGGAGAGAGAGTGCAGAAGGGCCAGCTGAGTGCTCTCTGCATCTGATGAGCTAATGACTCCCTTGGAACATTCGCCTTAGTATAGATAGATGCCTGAGCTCTTACCCTGTCTCTGGGAAAAGGGCTGCTGCAGACCGGAGGGCTCAGTTTACCACCCACTTTCGGCTTGAGACTCCAGCCATTGAATTCCAGTTCCCCAGAACTCGGAAGTGAGTTACAGCCCTCAGTTACCCTGGACGGTGGACAATACAGCCTTTAAGGTGCTGATCTTCCCCTCTCAGGGCCTGGTGGAACTGCCTACATAGGAACCTCCACATTAGAAATGGTCCTCCAAGACTGGGAGGTGGGAGGCAAAAAACGCCGTTGTAGAGCCCGAACGCTTAAACAAATTGGGATTCCTGGCTCAATGCTGCCCTCTTCTGACCAAACTAAGTCTAGCAAGTTCTATGGAATGTCCTTGCCTGTAACCACAAGTTGGGTGGGGTCTGCTTAGGCAATTTGTTCCTTCAAGGATTCAATTGTTTGTTGTTCGTTCGTTCATTCATTCACTCATTCATTCAGGAAATATGTACTGAACAAGTACAATAATAGGTATAATAATAAATCTAACATTTTTTGAGCCAGCCCTGGTGCTGAGTAAACATTTTGGAAATAGTGTCATGTCCTAGACCACTGGCACCTAGCCGGGAGGCAAATCCTGCCAGTCTGACATCACAGCCTGCCCCTAAGGAGTGCATTGCCTTGTGATACCCAAATGGACTCAAGAAATACAAGATGGAACTAGTGAGTTGCTTACAGTCTAAACTCTAGTAAGGCTTACGAGGAATTAAGGGGAATTTTGTGTTGAAAGTACCAAAAACAGTCCCCAAGCTCTTGATTACAATGGGAATGGAATGTTATCCAGCAGCCAGGCCTGGGAGCAGAGGGAAGACCATGTGCTGATGGACAGTAGTCAGAAGTCCTGGCTCCTGGCTCCTTTTTAACCACCAACCCACACTGTAGTCGTGGCAAAAGACTTTCTCTCTAAGGGGCAGTTTCCTCATCTATAAAAAGGTATTTGGATAATTCAACTCTGAGTTCCATTTCCACTCTGCTATAGCTTCTCTGCAATACCTAAGTAGGGGCAAATTAGAAATCTCAGGCATTTCCGTTCTTTTGTTCACCTGGTAACTGACCCCTGACTACAGTAGTTCCCGGAGCCCCATTCCCTCTCCCACCCCAGACCAGCAAGAGAGAGGTGTGCCCTGCTCTGCCCCTAATTGACTCTGACTATCTCTCCTCTTTTGGCATCTCTGTAGGTAGGAACGATTCTCTTTCATGTAGCTGACACACTGAGTGCTAGCTGTAGTATGAATGAGCTCAACCCTCACAACTCTATGAAGCCGGTGATTATCCCCATTGCACAGATGAAGGGACTGAGGCACAGAGAAATGAAGTAACTGCCAGTGTAGGATCACAAAGCTGGCAAGTGGTGGAGCCAGATGGGAGCCCGGGCAACCTGGCTCCAGAAACGGTGCTCTCACCCGTCATACTTTGGCTTACAGAGGACTCCTGATTTGCCCAAGTCTCAAGGAGACTGTGCTTCTTGATGTCATAGTTTTCCCACCGTACAATGTGCCTCATGACCGCCTGTGGGCTTGCTGTAGGATAAAGGTAGATGTGAAGCTGTCAGATGGATGGTTTCCTATAGTCTGGTTTCTCCAGGGCTCTTGTTCTCCCAAGTCCCCTCCCCCAATCCTGGCAGAGACCCAAGTGTGTGCACGCGCCTGTCGTGTGTGGAGGGGGAAGCTCTGACAGCAAGGGACTTATCACACTCCCTAAG